CGCCTCCCAACAGTTTATTTTTGTACATCGATTTTAGATGGAACGTGGCCAGAGCGCTAAAGCATCATAAGTGTGCCGGTGTGTTGGTACCCCCTCAATGCTGCGCAATGTACCACCTGTGACGTTGACCTTCAATGGAGATGTCATTCCAGACTCAGGAGTAGTTAAAAACCTCGGTGTTCAACTTGACAGGTATCTAAATTTTGAGGCTCAGATTGACAATATGTCCCATAAGTGCGCCGGTATTCTGATAGCCCTAAGTCACGCACGTCACGTCATACCTAGACCTGTGTTAAAGAGCATCACAGAAGCTCTAGTGTTATCCATTGTGCGCTACTGCATGTCGGTGTATGGGTCTTGTACTAGCACACAGCTGCACCGTGTACAGAAGACAATCAACTTCTGCGCACGTGTCGTGACCGGGAAAAGGCGATGTGATCACATCTCGGGTGCCATATCGAGCCTCGGCTGGCTCACGGCCGAACAGTTGGTGGCTTACCATACCTTGTGTGCAGTCGAGCGGACGATGAAGTCAGGTCATCCGGACTTTCTTCTTAAGACCTTCGGACAGCGAGCCCACCAGCGGCATGATCATAACACCAGGCGAGCGGACTCGTTTACCCTTCCGGCCATTCGTGTGGAGGCCGGCAGGCGGCGACTCTGTTACCGCGGTGTGTCGCTGCTGAACGACAGCGGCATTGAGCCTGGCACTTTGTCTTTCCGGGCAGATGCCAGGCTGTTCGCTGGATCTCTCTGATTCACGATATCGGTTCTGGTGCGAGTGTATGCATGGTATGCGAATGTTTGTAGTCATTTCCGTGTGTCTGTTCCAACTTCCCATTGTATTACCATTCAGACGCGAGTAAGTGAAAAGCCATGTAATCGTGGATCTTATTCAAATAAATCTGTTCTGTTCATAATCATAGGCGGCGGCCGGCGGAACAGGCCGAGGGCACCGAGGCACCGTGCCCTCTTTGATTTTGGCATTTTAACATTAGCCCTATGGCCGTTGCATGGAAAGAATGAGACCAAAAGTCGGCAATGCCCCCTTAATTGAAGGTGTTCCGCCGCTACTGATGTTAATCTCAATTTCAATGTAACGAATCAATGACATGGAAAATGGCATTTTCTGCGACATTGACCTGAGGTCAAATTTATTAAGCTGACCTTGTTAGGCCAAGAAGACGAGAGAAACGCAGTGCCGGTAAAATCAACGTAATAAAAGGTTGGTATCAGCTTAAAATTTTTTTAAAGAAAAGACGACTTCCGAAGCAAGCCAATTGTTCAGTTTTTGCCCTTTGGAGGCTTAACCCTAGTTGACCTTAGCTCAAATCTGAGAACCTGAAAGATTTTCGAAAGAGCTATCGAATTCGCTTTTCCGCGGCGCTGTAGCTTCTTTGGTTCCCGAATTATGAACCAATTTGTGAAGTTGTCAAAATCGGGGGCCAAAATTCGTCATCATTTTACTTTTGGTGACCTCCAGTGACCTCAGCGATGACCTGATCAAAAATGACCTGTATGATTCTGAAGAAAAATAGCGGTCTATAGATTGATTTTACTGCGTCTTTCCAGCTTTGCTACATTCCAAGATAACCTGGTGTGGCCGAATACACCTCCCCCCCCCCCAAGTTGGCTGAGGGCCACCCGGGCGCGGGTTAATAACATGGCGCAACAGGTTTTGTTATCAACTTGTCCTTTTCACACATAGGCGACACTAGATATCACAGCCAACGCCTATCACCAAACTGGTGGTGGGCTTTGGCCAGCGATCGCCGATCGGGGCCAACACGGGCTCTTACTCGTCCACAATCAGCAAGAATGATGAACTACAGCTGCTCCAGACCGGCCACTTCAATCCAGCGTGTAATCTTCAGTCCACATCAGAACCACTAGTGAAACTCTACTGAGTGGGCCAACTGCACTGCATCTTTGACCTCCTTTGCAGCTCTGGCTTTTCAGAATTTGAACAGCCTTCTCTTTCCCACCCTTCTGTGCTGATGAATGATGATCCTTTGGAAACCTGGAAAAAGACAGTACAGACTCAGGGAGATGAAACTGTTTTGCTATGGGTCTGTTCCAGTCGCACTTCCTAACACATCTAAACTCCTCAAAGAGCAAGATAGAGGAGGTTGGAGCAGGGCCCTTCTTGGCTTTGTAGGGGCGAAAGCTGCCACTGGAACAGGGAAGCAATCTTGGAGGAGTTAAGAGGTGTTAGGAAGTGCGACTGGAACAGACCCTATGACAATGTCTGTGCATAGAGCAAGCAGATGGTAGAAGTGGTCAATTGGTGAGTGGAACAAATGCAAATGTCAGGAAAGCAGTCATATTTTGTGATAGACATGATGCAGATGTTGGCCAAGCTGACAAGGCAGATATAATTACCAGCTTGTTATACTAGTCTATAACTCATCATATTTTCATGTTTAACAGAGGGAATATAATGTAAAAAAAATTCTTAGCCAGATGAAAGTAGATAATATAAGTTCTATAGAAAAATGTTTATGTAAGTAATGTAGGATTTGTGGTCTTTAGAGGCTAGGTAAATGTGTTCCCTGTTCAACAATTCTTCAGCATTCAGACATTGATGTTAATGTACAATGTACCTACATGCATCAACATACCTGTTGTGAAGTGATTCTGGGCTGCTTTCCTGAGCAGTTGATGGCCACCACTGGAATCTTAAAAACACAGCTAATTTTTTTCCATTTTGTTAACTATGACTGAGGATCTTCTGTGCTGAAAGAGAGATAGACAATAGACATCAGCTGATAGACATTGTACAATGTACAACTCATTTGTGAAACAAGATCAATTCCATTTAGGGGTAGGTCGTAGGATAATGGTGACATGAATGAATTTCAGTTTTCACTTTTCACCAGTCCAGGTACCTGGTGACAAAATGAAATATTGTAGGAGGTATCAATGATAATGTTTCTGGTAGAAAATGCAGGCATTTTAGAATTCAGTTGAAGCTTTAGATGGAGGATTTTTGGAAAATATTTGCCACAAATAACATTGGAATCTCAGAAACAAAAATCAAATCTTACTTGATGTCAAAAACAAATCAAACTAGCAGCCCAAAACAAGTTATTGAAAATATAAACACAGGTAACGTTACAACAAAACTGAGTCAAAACACTCAAAACTAAGTGTTTCAATGAACGCAAGATTGATGTGTGTCACAGAAGCAGCTGTCCACTGTAAAGCAGAGTGGGCACAGCATGGTGAAAGCAGGAAGTGGTGCACAAAACTGAATTAAGAAGAGTGCCCGACTAACTGTATCTACATCCCTTTACATGTAGGTACTTACAAAATTTGAGCACAATCAGCCAAAACTTAACTGTGAAGGAGGCCATGCCCACTCGCACATGAGAGGTGTGCAAAAACATGCCTGTAATACCTTATGCCTAGATACGTAAAGATGAAAATGTGTTGTGTCTGTGTGCCTGGTTAGTGGCATGACGTGACATGACTATCATCATTACCTGACAGTACAATTATCATGATATTATCATTATTGCAATTGTAATAAATAATGATCAATTGAACTTTTCTTCTCACTTTATATAGCCAAAATACCTGAGATTTTTTAATATCAAGTTTGCGGGTACTCCAAAATCGTAACTTCTGCTTCCTCCAGTACTTTATAAGTTTGCGCAAGACTATTATCCATTAGATGTAGGGACGATCATGACCACTTGACTAAAACATGGTTCACTTGGTTCTTACAAGCCTGTTAACTCACTACACAAGGGGAGGGGGCACTGCAAAAGGGTGTGGAAATCGCCACATTTGTCTCATGATGTTTGATGCATAATAATCGGTATCAAAATATCGTCGTATTAGTATGCAAGGTCACCAAAGAATGAGCCAACGTTATTTATCAAATATCAAAGCAAATTGACAATATCTAGCACAACGAAACACATAATTCAACACCTAACGATGCCGGCCGAGTCCCCGATACCACCATAGCGACCGCTCAAGTCCAACTGGCCGGCAACTGGCCAATCAGGGAGCTTGTTTGTCATTTCTGGGTGGGATTAAAAAACATGCGAGGGGGCCATATGCAAGTTCGGGGTAACCTCCATCGGTTAGAGAGAATTCGAGATGATTTTGATGTTAGGTTCGAGTAGGCTCTAAAGTCCCCATAGGATCTTCAAAGATCAAATCTTAGGCTAGCGTTGAGTCTTCCGGCAAACAAGTTTAGTGGTAGATTCTTACTGGACCTATATCAATTAACTTTGCATAACTGGTTAAAATTTTAACGTCTCAGACTACCGCGAACTGGCACCCAGCACGTGCTTTTTTAGATAAGTTAATAAACTTCGCCATGCACTAAAACCATAAGTAATGGGTTTATTGAAGTCAGTGATCCTGCCAAATTTTTCTTATCAATTTTGAATCGAGCTACATTGAAAAACAAGTTTTTTGCATTTTTAACACATTTGGTTTTTTGTCCTTAATTTCATTATCATTATCAGTTATCTCTACCAAAGGCGCAAATAGTTTGCAGGGGCGTGCCATGCATGGGGGCAGAGGCATGCTCCGTGCACGGAGTCGTGCTGTGTCCTCAGACATCAACAATGGCATGCCCGGCACCGTCTAACGGGACGGCAGGACAGCGGGCCGGTTACCAAAAATGTCCATCTCGCTGTGATCGCTGCACAACTGCAAACGGGTTCCCGAGGGACCCTCTCAGGCGACGAAGGCCTCGAAGGAGGCACGTGATTTGTCCAAGACCTCTGAGGAAGGTAGCTTGGAGCGAATCAAGGTTATGGAAACCAGGTAGAACACTCCCGACGAGAAGTCGATACAGCGATGAAATTAGTAGCCGCGACTCCGGTGGCAAAACAACCTCAGGCTGCCATGGTAACGGGGCAAATGTTGCATGAGTGCTCATCTAATAACTCATTTTTCAGCAAATTACTTCAGGTAAAAAGGCAAAGACGCTTATTGGGCCAGTAGTAGAATGAATTGCAGTTTTCTTAAATGATCAAAGTTTTTATCAGACTGGCCCACATACCAAAACAAAGTACCATGAAAATAAAGTTTTAAACTGAACCCTCCGTGCTGCTATAAGTTACCTTTAACGCCCTGACCTCCAAAATCGTCACTGACATCAGCCTTTGAGCGTCGAGCATGGAGTTACGCTGATTGGTCCAATTACTGTGTTTATCGTTTAGGATGCTCACGGTGCTGGATAGCACTAGCGCGTGTCGCTATTTTTCGTAATGTTGAAAGGCCGAAACGCACCCCCTGGAGCGGATGGAGGTTCAATGTGAACTGGCAAGACGGCATCCACTTTGAGTGTGTTTTTATGATTTATTAAAATTTTAACCGGAATTCTCGAAAGTGTGGTCGCGGACCCTGGTGTCTGTGAAGCAGCAGCATATAGCAGCACCGAATAAATTGGGTAGTGAGTGGCATGATTTTAAACCAAAATGCATTGCTGGTACCTATAGCTAACGGTCCTGGCAATCCTGGGTCTAGCGTGGCCCTCCTGCCAGCTTCCAACCTACCTGAACAAAACCGTTTGTCGAATGGTCAACTGCTGAAAAATTCGTTGCCACTCAGTCACCAGTCGGATACCTTATTCAGTTACCCACGTTACGGGGCGACAAGGGGACATGGCCACGACTTTTTATGTTCCTTTCGTACTAAGCTAGCCGATCTCGCCTGAGACAACCACCAGTGGAGGTCCTGACACTTCTATGTGTGATTGCGTGGGATTTTTATCATGGCGACCGATACGACATATTTTTTTCAGTTTGGGGAATATCGCAATTCTTCTGATCAATAAAAGAAAAGGTAAAGGCCAGTAACAAGCCAAAACGGTAAAAAGCTTGGATCTTGGTTGCTGAAGCGCCAGATTCCGTCTAACGAATTATTTTTTTATAGTGCTGTCGCGTATTCTTTTGATATATCCACTATCCAGCTCACTGCTGTATTGTCCAGGAGCTATGGGATAGCCTGTCAGCTATTCATGCAAAAGCTGGGGTTCCCTTGCAAAGGATGACAACATACTGCAGCGTAAACACTTAGCAACATGCTGCAAGTAATAATAGACGACATATTTTCCTGAATGGCTATCGCTCAAATTCACTAACAACAGGCCCTTTCACAATTTCTATAACAAGGACAGACGAAGGTCCCTTCTGTTTCGACTACCACAAGCATGCGAGACTGAGTGCCTGTTGCACGAATAGAAAACTTCTATCAGTACCTGCTTTCGTTTTTTTTGCAGTTTTTTTACGTTTGGCGATAGGTCATACAGCCAATTACATTGAGGTAAGCCATCCGTAAGAGCATCGCCAGTTCAAGCAAACTCAAAACGAAGTACCTACTCTTACATGTTTGACAATGAGGGTGACGACTGAAGTCCTGCGCTTCAGAAGAAACACGTTCTTTCATGTGCAATATTCAGTTGATTATTTCTCTTTGCCCTTCCCCTCCTCTTTCTTCCCTCTCTCTCACTCTCTCTTTCTCTCTCTCTCTCACTCTTTCCCTCCCTCCATCCCTCCCTCCCCCCTCTCTCTCTATCTCCCTCCCTTCTCCCTATCCCTTCCCTCGAAAATATACATAGTACCTATACTGGTGCCGCACGGCACCACTACTTTTCTACAATATCACTTTTGTAATTTTGTTCTGCCTGTCGCATCTCAAGAGTTCAAGATTCCAAGTGGAGGAACAGCGTCAACAGCGAAGCCTACTGATCATCATGAAACGCATCGTGCCATTGACTTTCGTTGACGCTTCCCATAAATCAACAACTCACAATGATAAGAGGCTGTTTATGGTGGATCAAAGCTGCCGGTCGGCCCCTTCATTCCCACCAATGCGGCACTATTACCGCAGAATCCTGGTACCGTAAAGTGGGGCTATTTGAGACAGTGGGGCTATTTGAGACAGTATTTAAAATCGCTATAAAATGAAGATCGCTTGATTCTTTTGTGATGTTTTGCTTCAGTGAGGTGTGGAATCGAGCAGTAAATCGCCTAGCCAAAAATTGAGCATAAATTTCCAATGCTTTTTATTTTATAGCAATTTTAAATACTGTCTCAAATAGCCCCACTGTCTCAAATAGCCCCACTTTACGGTATATCTGTATCGCAGAATCCTGGTATATTTGTATTCCAGAATCCTGGTATATTTGTACTCCCATGGAATCCGGTGGCCGTGCCCAGTTCCGTCTCACGTTAGAATATCACAAACATCGTTCATCTTGTTCGGCGTGTGATTAACGAGCATGCGAACCAGCGGCGTTTATCAGGAAAAGGTCCGTCTTTGTCTGTCATCGGAAGCAGCATTCTGTCACTAATGGAGCTTCAAACGCTTCGATTCCCAACCGATCTGCTAGCTGAGTGAACAATGTGTTTCATCTAAATCACACCCATGTGCTTCAACATAAGATCTCATGAAGTAAATTTTACCTAAAGTGACTGCGAAGATGTTTAGCTGAGAATAATTGAAGATATGCTGCGCTTATATTTTACGATCTGTAAGTCAATTTCGATGGCTGACGCCACTTTCGCTTCTTATCAATTGCACATCTTCGACGCAATACAAACCACTAATTTATAACATTGTCACTGCACGGCATTGCACGCGCGAATAGCGGCATGATAACGTGTTACAAAATATGTCACCGCATACATGGGTGGAGCTTTTCCAGGAAAGTTGGTGGGGCAAAAAGTTGTCAAACCTACAATGTCCGATTGTTAAGTTAGATAAAATTCAACAATGAATCAATTCTTTTCATTACAGAGATAATATTTTGCATTACACAGACATTTCAAAGCTCCTCAATGCGAAAAACATAGGTTTGCTAAGCAGTAAAGTCCTGCAAATCGGCTTAAGTTGGTGGGGCAAAACGCTTATTGGTGGGGCAAAATGGCAAGTTGGTGGGGCAGGCGCCCCACCAAGTGAATAGGAAGCTCCACCCTTGACCGCATACTTCTCTTCAGTATACGTTACTGTCCAGTCTGCACAGTATGCCAGCTGCTCCACTCTGTCTGTAATGGGCTGAAGTGGCTACCCGATCAGAGTTTATCTCTTTATCTGCAGAGCGCTTGGCAATCTGGCCATCGCTTCATAGCAATGTGTGGCGGCCAACTGAAATTAAATGTGTAGGCGTCTCTAATTGGACGTGATCTGTTTCAATTTCACCAGCTGCATAGCGTGGCCTCAGGGCGCGAATTGATCATGAACAGATGTGCGCTGGGAAACGTTTCAATTCAGCACATCAGCGACATAACAACTAGTATGGCTGACGCCTGTTTTGCTGCTCATGCCATCTTACGGTCAGGAAAGAAACTATTTCATTGTTGTTGCTTTATACGGACAGATAACTTTCTCATTTTTGTTTCCCCAACACTGAGGTAGAATATTGTGGGACTGGAAACAGTTGTGCTGAGATGCTGCGCAAAAGGTCACCGCTCATCACTCAGAATCGCAGATTTTGGCATCCATTAGTCGCTGTAGCTGAGACACTAATCAGATGTAATCCCTACACCGTCTACTCATCCGGTACTTTTTTCCCAGTAGTAAGCCAAACAACATGATGTTGACTCTCCATCACACGTTTTCACCCGCTAAAATAAAAGTCACCATGATCTTCATCTTTCAGACCCTAGATCTTGAGTGTGTTTTGCTATCATCGTGTTACACTAAAGAGACGCATGGTTATAATGTAATGTAACCATCAACAATGGCTTGATAACTGTACCGACCCGTTATAGCGGCAAAGACCAGAATTCACGGCATTTAGCGGCGGCTTTTTCAAGGAACTTGTTTGTTACAAGCCTGAGCTTGGCAGATGGCCAACAAATCTATGAGGTGTGCCGGCCCGAAGCTAGTTGTTATATTTAGTTCTGGAGTAATTCTTATTATTAATATAGCATAGTAACAACACTAGTTAGTAGTTAATATGCGGTGCAAAAATGGTCACACTTTTTCAACACGATCCTTACCTGACATTTGACAATAGGGTTTCGTATACAGTAGCGGCGGAACACCTTCAATTAATGGGGGGGGGGGGGGCACTGCCGACTTTTGGTCCCATTCCTTCCATGGAACGCCCATAGGGCTTATGTTAAAATGCCAAAATCAAAGGGGGCATGGTGCCCCGGTGCCCTCCCCGTTCTGCCGCGGCCTATGGTTTCGTATGACAAACTTATATGAACATCAAAATTATTCGTTCACTGTCCTGACAATCCATGCATTTTTATTTGGATTTCGGTACTCATCCATTGATTCAGATCACTTGTACATAAATAAGAAAGCGGCTGAATATCATGAGAAACGGATTATTAAGCCCTCGGCGTTGAACGCTATCTCAAGTTGGGTCGTGAAATAAAAAAAAACATGCTAAATTTCGCATATGTTAACACAAGCAGGGGCGTTTTTTATTCTTCTAAAGACGCCAACTGCGAAAGAATTTGAGCCAAAAATAGCTCTTTACGTGTAAAGTAAAGCCGGATCTATAATAGCCGTTTTCACGACGGCCATCTGGTACACATCTGGTGCACATTTGGTGCAGATTATGTGCAGATTTGGTCAAATCAGGTTCAGTATGTCCCTTATCAGTAAGGGTTGCACTAATTGCTTATATGCCTGCTTTGTCATATTATCAGAGTGCAGAGAGTATCATCGATGAAACCACTGAAATAAATTCATAAGATAAAGATATTTGCTGTAAAAGAGATTAGGTGCAGATTTGGTCAAATTAGGTGCACTCGCCGGAGAGCCCGTCGTGAAAACGGCCAATATATAGTAACCTCCCCGGCTGCGAAGGATCTATAATAGCCATTCGTTGGTATATTGCTTGGTACTTGCTTTGTGGTATAGTGGCAGATGGTTGCATCTGAATTGCAATTAGTCAGTTCGAGCTGTGACCTGTGAAATGGTAGCCGTTGGGCTGGGGGATGGGGGGGTGGGGGGGGAGGGGAACCTACTATTCTACCTACCTACTATTCTTGCTTAAGTTGGCCCGTGGAATGTTTATGGTACTATGCCAGCTTTTGTGAAATTCTGTCGTGTCTCACTCTCATCGGGATCGTTTGCGGAACACGATCCTGCTGTTGAGCGACCAATCGATAGATCTTGCTCTGTTGGGCTTTTGGGGGATATTTGAGCTGACATGTCGTCAAAACCAATCAGTGTCTCTTCTATTCGATCCCACGGTCAGTAGTCGTTATCACTTTAAAGTTAGCTTTGATTTGCTTTAACCCGCGCCCTGCTGGGGGGGGTGTTTGAACACCCCCCTTGTGGTTTTTCGCGAATATCTCAAAAACGGCGGCGCGGAGCGCCGCCGTTTTTGGTACACCTTATCTCACATCAATTCTACACATGTTGTGAAAATTTCAGACCAAGGTCATTCAAGGTCAGGTCACCAGGTCACTTGAAGTGACCTCACCTCATAAAAAGTTTCGATGTCTGTCATAGCTACACCGAGTGACCGATCGCTTTGAAACTTTCAGCGATTGCTAAGAGCAATAGCATGTACAAAATGTATATCTCAAAATTTTGATATCGATGACCTAAGGTCAGGTCAATTTTGCGACCGCCCCATTATAAGTCAATGGGAGAAAATTGAAATGCGCCTCTTTTGGACAAAAGACATTATAAACACTCCCAAACACCGAATTACAAGTGGTTTAGACACACTGAACATGAAAATGGTGTCCGTGACCCTTGTTTATGCCCTGAGGTCATCTTAGGTCACGAATGGTATCTAACAGTTTTTCGCAAATAACTTTTGATAGAGGCATGCTAGAGCGATGAAAACGCCTTAGATGTGTTCAGCTCGACGATACGGATCGACTGATATGCAACATGACCATTTCCGGTCAGGTCATGACCTTGACCTGAGGTCAAATTTTCAAGTTGACCTTTCAAGGTCAATTTATAGTTCATTCGATGCGTCTTGACGAGAGGAACACAATGCCGGTAAAAGTAAGCTCGTACAAGGCTTGGGTCAAAAGTTATTGCAGAAAAACTGTTTCCGAAAAAATCGGCTATTTTTGCAATTTTTGCCCCCTGCAGGCAAAACCGTTGACGTTAGGTCAAATCTGAGAGAATTACTCAGAAAGGGCTTTAATAGGGCTATCGAATGCGCTTTTCCGCGGCGCTGTAGCTCTATTGGTTCTCGAGTTATGCGTTGGCTTCTTGGAAATTTTCGACATTCGACCTGGAAATCGGCGAAATTTTGCCTTCAATGACCTCTGGTGACCTGACCTTTGACCTGACCAAAAAATTGACCGAAGTGATTTCGTCATTATTTTTGACGCTCTTTCGAACGCCGCCTTCTGCGTATCGCTACGTGGCCCAGGAGCCGAGTTACAAGGGGGGGTGTTCAAACACCCCCCCCCCCCCAGCAGGGCGTGGAAATCCAGGACCCCCAGCCGGGCGCGGGTTAAGACTAAAATTTGCTTCTACATTTGCTTCAAGTGTTTTTCCACCTCAAAGAATTTCATTTAGAAAATTTGCAACCTTCAGTCTCAGTTCTTATGATCTTTACCATAATCTAGTGCAGAGGCGTACCGAGGCCTTTCAAAGGCCCTTAGAGGCCTTCGCTAGGCCCCAAGTCACATTCGTAAGACCGTCAGAGGTCGTCGTTCGTTCCCTCAGAGACCATCGTAGAGCGCTCAGAAGACTAGCATAGTCCTCTGGGGCCTGTCTGTGTTTGGGCCTTCAGAGACCGTTGTTGAGGCCCTGGCGGAGGCTAGCGTTGGCCCTTAGAGCCAACGTTGGGTCTTCGAGACTGTCGTGAGGCCCACAGCGGCCAGAGTCACCCACAACGGTCGTCCTGAGGGTCCCCAATGGCCATCGTCGGGTCCCAGAGGTAGTCGTTAGGGCCCTGTGAGACCACCGTGGGCCCCTAGAGGTCAACGTGGCCCTTTGGAGCCTTGGCGGTAGCCCTCAGAGGTTGAGGGCCCCTAGAGACCATCGTGGGGTCTAGAGATGTCAATCGGATACCAACTTTTTGGTATACCGATACCAAACCGATACCAACTTGGTATTTGGCATTTCAATCGTAATGTGTTTGGTATTTTGTTGGTATCATGAACCCTCACTAATGTAGGTATTAGAGGCTAAGAAATCGGTAAAAAGTTGGTATTGTCCTCATTTTCCCAAGTTGGTTTGGTTTCGGTATTTCCCCATGGTTTTGGTTGGTATTTGGTTTGGTATCGGTATTCCGATTTTCCGTAATTGACATCACTAGTGGGGTCCCTCAGAATCTAGCGTGGGCCCTTGAAGCCTGTGTTGAGTTCTAAAGGCCGTCGTGACTGTGAGGGCTCTCAAAGACCCTCGTGGAGTCCTCAGGGACCAAAATGGCATCTGGAGCCTGCGTGGGGGCCCTCAGCCATCGTCGTGAGGGTCCCATGTGATCCCATGTGACTGTGAGGACCCACAGACCTGAGTGGGGACTGGGGTACTCCTTACCGCATTTGACTTTCGATAGTCCTGCATTGACTTCCTTTTTCAGCTCACAAGTTTTCAAGAGGAAATGCCAGTATTCGATGATTCGATGGGTCCCTGTTTACGGATTTTAGGGGTGCAGAAAGATATGTTTGCACCCCCATGTGTTTGAATGAGGGTGCAGCTGCACTCCCTGCACCCCATCTTCCGCCGCCCTTGCAGTGTTGTAGTGACTGTGTCGATCTCGCGAGTATGACGAGGAAGACGCGCCAAACAGAACAGGTCACCGGTCGTTCTACGGTCGGCAGGATCAAAGATGCCGGCACCGGCGGCGGCTCGTTTGAAGTGCCAGGCCGATCCAGCCAGCCGAGAGAGGGGAGGGGACTGCGCGTGAGAGGGGGGGGGGGGCACGTGCTGTTGAGCTCGGTGTATAAGTCACGTGACGCTCGTTTGGACCGTGACGAGATGGGCGACCGAGGGCTGAGGGCGACATTCGGCTGGGTTAACGGGCTTTTCTCCATGGAGTGATTTTTATGTAACCACGAATGCATTTCGAGGGGCACCCGGGCCCAGGGGCTGGGAAAAAGGTTGGCATGGGTAAGACGGAAGAAATTGTTCTGAAACATCCGGTGAGTTTTATCTTTGCGGCTTATAAATTGACAAGTTTTTTTTTTCTAATGAACACCGGTCATGCTGATGCCTTTTCGATTGCCTTTCAGAATCGATTTCTTGAACCATTGCATACTGCCATCGGCTGTTAGCACTTAAGCAACAGGCCCAAAGCCCTGTTGCGTGCAAAAATCATTGATTAACTTGCCACTTACCGTGCCGCTGAATATAAGTTACATAAATATGTGGGATATGGTTGATGAAGTCCTGGTAGGGGCACCCTGTCTACCAGGTCAGCCGTGAGGGTTCGGCAAGATCCACTGTTTCCCTGATGAGTGTCACTGACGCCGCCTCTGGCAGTGTCTGGCCGACAGACAGTGTCGCGTCTCCTCGGGACGGGAGGGAGGGGCCCGAAATGAGCACTATCCAGTATCCACGTCATCGGCCGCCACGGCCGCCGTCTCTCAGTTGCACGTCTCAGTTCAGCCAACCGCCGGTGGCGGCAGCACCATCGCTTTTCAAATTGCGCCCTTGGATGGCAGCGGGCTGTCGACAGCGGCCCCCGTCACCCATGTAAACATGGTGGCCGTGGCTGCGGTGGCCGCTATGGGGCACCGTGTACCCCACCGCGGCTCATGGACCCTCCCGCGCCCCTCTCGTGCCCCCTCCTGAGCCCGCACTGCCATGTGTCCCCCTGTTGCAGGTCACGCTGTCTGGGGATCGACCGGGGCACCAGTGGACGCCGCCCCCGGCTGTCTGCATCTCCATGGCAACAGGCGGCCGCAGCAGGTGAGTGCGCTAGCGTGTCGACCGCCGCCGCCGCCGCCGCCGCCGCTCGCTCCGCGGGCCGCCGCCGCCGGCCGCGCCGCGACGTGCTGGGACGGTGTGTACGGCCCCATAAACCCGACAAGGACGGAGCTGAACTGGAATAGCTGGAGCGTGCGCGCCATGCGTAAGACAGATCTGTCATGTAAGATATAAATATTGACCTGACCCTGACATGACATGACCTGACCTATCTCGATCTGATCTAATCGTCAAAGCAATTTCCTTTACAGAACTCAATTATTAATATAATAAAATAATATAATAATAATAATGCCATATATTTCGCACCATCAGAGGTACATACATCACAGTCACAAGTACATCACATCCTACAACCACCATACACTCACCACCAGACAACCACATTCCGTAGTACCATAATTATTTACATTGTTCGGCTTCCGATCGTTCGCTGGTCATTCGCTAATCTTTAGGTCTCCGTCTCAATACAACACGCTTTAAATGAGCAGTGAATATGTTAACGATGCTCGCCTGGCTAGCAGAGGGCAAATCAAGTTCCATCAGCCCATATTCACGCCGAACCGCACGATGAACTCTGACCAGTGTTCCATTCTGACCGACGTCACTATCAAGCACAGTTTTGATAATCGTATTTTCACTCGATGTCAGTCGTCTATAGAATAAGAGTTGTCTACTTGCTACCAGCATTTGACGCGTCAACAACCTGTTAGCATGGCATAGTGGATAATTTCTGAATGATGTTGGCACTTGGCAACCTTAGTAACTTAGTAACTAATATGTATGAATTATTAATTAATATGTAAGCAGAAAACAATATATTTCGAACAAAAATATTGTTAGAAAACCCTAAAACAAGAAACACATCAGCTCTTCGTCGGTCGCAGACATTAGCGTCGCCACAGGGGGGCAAGCTTGCCCCCCCCCCCAACCTCGGACCGGGCACCCCCTGAGATCGATACAGATCCGATGAGATTTTGGAGTCGGGAAAAAAATGGGGGTACCTTTCTGAGAATGCCTGTGAGGTTAGACTCGGTTGCAGCAAGCAGTTCAAACCAGAGTCTGACTCGCAGTCGCCAAAGTCTTGAAGACTCCGATTCCAGACTCGGAAATGTCAATGCTGTGATTCATTCCATGTTCCTAGTTCGTTCTTTATTACATTTTACATAAGTTTTTTTTTCATAAGTTTTGGAGTGCTGATACAATTTTCGTTCAAAGCGTGAAACGAAATCTTCGGGGCCTTTCTCAACTCTCGTCAAATGTCTGCGACAGGCTCAAGTACAGTACAAGTGTTGCAGGGCTCATGAGCTTGCTTTAACCCTCAAGGGCTCCTAAGGAGCTCCACTGAGCCCTAAAGAAGCCTTCAGAGGGCCCAAACCGGCCTCTTAAAGTCCCACTGGTGTCCATGTTCTCTGAGGGCCCATACAGGGATATTTGAGCCTTCGAACATTTCTGAGAACCTGGCCTCTGATAGTTCAGCCAAACTTTTGAGGCGACAGACTTTGCTAACCCCAAGCCGGCATCTGAGGGGTCACAGCTCACGTGTCCCTCTGAGGTCCGCAACACATGTTAATTATGTCCCTACGTAGGGTCCTAAGGGATTCGACACAGACCCTCAGGGTTCACACTGCTATCCGAGGGCTCCAGGCTCACCCTGGGCCTAGTCTCTTAGCGCCCGCCGCCCACACTGGCTTCTGAGGGCCCCACCTTGGGCTCGGAAAGCCCTAAAGCACCACGTACACGTAAATATTTGAGGTGACCCACGCCGATCTCCGGAATCCTAAGCATGCTTCTGAGAGTCAGCACCGACCCTGAGTGGCCTAAAATGGTCTGGAAGTCCCAAACCTATCTCTAAGGGATCCCTTGCCGCTATGCCGTGCGTAGCTTTTGGTTCCGTTTAACAGTTTTTTGTTCGCGTTTGCAGCGCTTCCCTTCACACGAAAAACGAGAAACTTTTGTTCACACTCGAGTGAACAAAACACTTCCTCTCACTGGAGCAAAGATGAATTACTTCCGATTCATACTTCCGACATTCACTCTCCGCCGAATGCCCAACTTAGCTACGATCGGCGGCTGGGATAAGTCCTAAGCATTTCACGTAAAACCTCTGCATGCATGCGTGAATGGAGGTTTTAGCAGGGTGATCCGATTAAATGGAGCGTTTTTCACCTTTTTCTGGGCAATGATCATGAGCGTCGAGCGTCTGCACAGGGGCCCTCTGCAGTGCGTCGGCAATCGCAGCCACTATATACTATAATTCTACCAGTCGTTTTTGTCATGAAATTTCAAAACTTCGAATTTTTCTGTAAAAAAATTACATGTCATAGCTAGAAGGAAACCTTTGTCACCATCGGATCCTCTCACCATTGCGCGTCGAATGATATGTAAAACAAGTGAGTAAAGACTGGGGAAAGGCAAATTTTAACACAAAAGTTGATTTTGCCCCCCCCCCCCCCAACCGAAAATCTCTGGCGACGCCTATGGTCGCAGATTTAGGTATCACACACAGGGTGAACAAACAGCGACCTTATCTTATCTGAGATAAGAGACCTTATCCTACCTTTTTCTGCTACCTCATTGGCTACCTACGCTGAGCTAGTTTGACCTGACCTTGCAGTTTGACGAATATTTCGGCGATGCGTCACCATACCCTGGGAATTATTTGCATCCGCTTGTCTGTCGATTCCTTTCCTTCTATTTCTTTCTCTTTTTATTTCTCTTTTTCTCTTTCTTTTTTCCTGCATCGCTCCCTCTTTCCCTTCCTCTCTCTCCGGCTCTTTACTATCTATATACGTACTATGCATAATATGTTTATACGCATGGTTAACATGCATAGATCCCATTGTTTATGCTACTGATTTTGAAAATAGATTAAATGGGAGCAAACAGGTGGACGAATTAATCAAGCTTCAACGATAAACCTTATTAGATCTATGATAACAACAGGTCCTCACTGCTCATCTCATTTAGCTTACAAATAGACCTCATGCATGCTTTGGAGCACGTGATAGTTACTGTGCGCATTGTATACTGGTAAATACCAGTACAAACTAGATACCTTCCATCCATGCATTCATCAGCAGTTTTCTTTCCAAAGATGGCCTTGATTTAATGAGGTTTGTACAGTCGTGTACAGGTTGATGGTCCCCTACTCTTTATCCACCGGGTTCCTATGGCTCAGCATTGGCAGCAGCCGCCTGGTACCGGTAGGCTGTGCCGCATGACCCGAGAGTGAAGCGGCACAGCCTACCCACACTGTATGACACCGGCTCGGGTCGCCTGGTAGAGCGATTTGACCGGACGCTGCGTTACACCGGCTGGGGGGAGGGGGGGGGGGAAGGGTCAGGCCTGTCTATTTGGCTCGGCTCGGTGGATGAGGCGGGCTGGAGTGTGGTGTGGGGCGGGGGTGATGTGGGGAGGGAGTGAGCGGACCTGGGGCTGGGTGTGTGTGGTCACTTGTCGCATAGAACCGATCGTAATCCACCCTCCAAAAATTCGTTTTAGAGATATCCACAAAACCCAGGGGGGTTCGAACACCCATCTCCCAAGTGGGGTGCGGAAGGACAGATAAGGGTCCATACGGTCTCCTCATGCATTGCAGCAAAGAAAGAAAACAGACCTGTCACCAAATAATCTTTCTGAAAAGTGGACTAATTGCATAGCCTCGGACACAGAAATAAATACCCAGCACGCGAAGCGTCTCGAACCGGGCCTCCCACTACCGCCCCGGTCAGTTTGACAGTCTAGCACCCCTACGCTGAGCCACACCGGATGGTGGCCACGGCCGGGGCAAAGTCTGGCCGGGCGGGCGGCGGGGCCGGGAGGTCGGCAGCAAAGTCAATGAATGTTTTTGTGGTTTCGGGTGCCGGTCGCTCTAGCTTGGTGGAATGATGATGGATCATTGGCAAAACTTTCAACGTGGAGTCCCGGTTCGAGCCTCATCGGGGCTCCGGCTACTTTTCCGAGTTAGGATCTGGTTTGATTTTAGTGGTTGCGAGCCATTTTATATCTACATGTCGATTGTCGATTGATTGATTGATTGATTCATTCATTCGTTCATTTAATACATGTCGACATTTAGCATACGAATTGTCATCCAGGATCAATCCCATCAATCTACCATTTTCATAAGCGTATTGCCTAAATAACATGCATATGTGTGGCACAAGACCTATGGTTGCCTCGATACCATGCCAAATCACGTTTTGCACAATGCACAAGTAAATTAGGTATTCGCTGGGTCTTCCGTGCATTGTGCTTAGCAAAAACAGGAATGCAATGACGCAAGATGTGCAATGCAGCAAGTGACCACACACACCCGCCCAGCCCCCATGGTCCACCAACACGCCCCACACCACTCGCCAGCCCACGCCAACCACCGAGACGAGCCCCTCCCCCCGCGCTGGTCTGACGCGACAGCTGGTCTACAAAGCGCTCCACCCGGCGACCCGAGCCGATGTCAAACGGCGTGGGTAGACTGTGCCGCTTCACTCTCGGGTCATGCGACACAGCCTACCGGTACCAGGCGGCTGCTATCAATGCTGAGCCATAGGAACCCGGTGGATAAAGAGTGGGGGACCATCAACCTGTACACGACTGTACTAGTTTAAGAATAGCCCGTGGCAAATGATGATCCTGGCAGTAAGTAATAGAACAGACGATATGGCGATCGATGGTCTCGTAGCCTTTACACCTAACATATGCGAGCAATGAGGAATGAGGATGATGATCGTTTCTTTGCACGCTAATAGCGTTGCAAGATTATTCCCCTTTTTAGAAGCATCAGTGTTTTTAGGCTTGGTTATGCTGCATACGCAAAAAGGCTTGGTTTGGACTATGGCTTTGGTTATGCTGCATGCGCAAAATGATCCCCCAGTGCCGTTCCGCTAAGTTTGGATTTTTTAGGCTGTCCATTCTCCAGCTGCACCTTTCAGCTCTGGTAAAAATGTGCACTTCAGATGTAAAAATCACCCATGGTACCA